AAGAAAGAAAGAAAGAAAGAAAGAAAGAAAGAAAGAAAGAAAGAAAGAAAGAAAGAAAGAAAGAAAGAAAGAAAGAAAGAAAATAAAATAAAATAAAAATGCCTCAGAGAGCAAGAAATCTCATTAACATTTTGGGACCTGAACTTACAATACTATAAAATTATGATTCATCACCAACCTATATTTATATGGATCTGTCTAATTGCGCAGAAGACATACGATAGATAGGCTTTATCTACGTTTTAAATTTTGTTGGGACGCACGGAATATTTTTTTTACGGGGGGTGGGGATACGCTGGTAATAAATCAGGATGAAAATTGACGGTGATGAAAAATAAACGTGGGGGAAAAAATGTCAATTTCCGTGCACTCGAAAAAAAAAATCCCGAGAAGTCCATGCTGCATTTTTAGCCACATATAAATTGCAACGTAATTCATTAAGCAAATGAATCTCTGCCTAACCTTGATTTATTAAGCCTTAACATTATTCTCCTAAGTGTTAAGGCCTTTTATTAGCCTTTGGAGGGTTTTTTTTCCTGGAGGTTCGCTGAGCACGCTCGAAGTATTTTTTAAAACTGTCTAAGCCAAATCAAATCAAATCAAATCAAATCAAAGTCAACAAATACAGAACAACAGAGTTGGAAGGGACCTCAAAGATCATCTAGTCTGCTCAAGCAGCAGATATACGATGCCATTCGGATGAATTGCTGTCCAATCTCTTCTTAAGATGTTTAAATTCACTTTTTGGGGGCACGTGGGCTGAATATCCTGCCCTAGATTTGGATACCAATCTAGATTTTTGTATTGTCGGAAGCAACCAAGTGGAGTCAAAAAAATATGGCGACAGCAGCTTCACCCAGGGGTGGGATTCTACCAGTTCTCAGCTGTTCGCTAGAACCGGTTGTTAACATTCTAAGCAGTTCAGAGAACCGGTGGTTAGAAGAAATTACTGGCCTAATCCTGTAAGGAAGGCAGGAAGGAAACATTCTGGTGTTGCTTACAGAAACTGCCTCTCAGTTAACCCTGATTACATTCTTGGCAGGACTAGACTTCCTGTCTCAGGAACGTCTCTGGAGTTTTTTCCCCTCCTTTGCTGGTACTTTGCTTGTGTGGAGTGACCATTCAAAGTCACAATGGCACTGAAAAAAGTGACTTATGACCATTTTCACATTTACGACTGTTGCAGCATCCCCACAGTCACGAGAGGCCAGGTGAGGAGATGCGTGCCTTGATGTGAGTGATATTGAGTTGGCCACACCCAGCCAATAACATGACCACCAAGCCATGTCCACCTAGTCACATGACCACCAAGCCACGCCCACCACCTAAGCCACGCCCACAGAACTGGTTGTTAAAAAATTTGAATCCCACCCCTGGCTTCACCCAATTCTTATATGAGTCACAAAAAGAGGGCTCTGTGATATATTTTTTTTCTGACTTTGCCGCAGGATGTTTCTGTGTTCAACCCAGGGGAGAGAGAAGCTTTTAAAAAGCAAATTTAGTTCATTTGGATGCCAGAAATTCATTTATTTGTGCATTTAAGGATTTATTTATTTCTATCCCACCTTCATTATTATTATTTTTTAAAACAATTTTATTAGTTTTGAAAACAAACAAAACATAAAAACATCAGCTTTCTTTCATAAATATATACAAACAGTGTGTCGGAACCATATGAAGTGGGTCGGGCTGAGAGAAAATGATTGGCCCAAAGTCACCCAGTTGGCTTTCATGCCTAAGATGGGACTAGAACTCACCATCCAACCAGATTTCAAACCCTAGGTGGGACTAGAACTCACCATCTCCTGGTGATTGATCCAAAGTCTCCCAGTTGGCTTTCATGCCTAAGGCGGAACTACAATCCTCCGTCTCCTGGCGATTGGCCCAAAGTCACCCAGTTGGCTTTTATGCTTACAATGTGGCTAGCACTCACTGTCTTCTGGTTTCTAGCCTGTTGCCTCCGGCACTACATCCAACCTAAGCATCTTCCAATTGAATGGACATCAACTCCCAGAATCCCCCAACTAGAATTCCTCAGCCAGCAATACGCTAGACTAGACCAAACTGGAAATGGAAGTCTAGAAGTCTAAAATAACACACCTGCTAAATCAACGCCATTAAACAGTATCTCCCAACCTTTAGGTGGACTTCAATTCCCAGAATTCCCCAGCCAGTTGCCTTAAGAGTTCCTAACGCTGAAAAGCCAGTTGTATTAAACAACCGGCATGCAAGTCACGAGGAGAGATGCCAAGGCCTCTAGTTAGACCCCCATCTCTGACCAAATAAAGAAGAAGCATCACTACTTACCTTGAGAAACTTATAAAGAAGGAAGGTGAACCAGTTGGTCAGCATCTTCTCCGCTACGGATTCAGTCCTAGAACGAAATGGGATGAGAGAAGGGGGGAAAAAAATTGCTCATATTTTCCTCCTGTTATCCTCCCCGGGTTATCGATCGATTCCTCTTTATTTGCATGCTACCGCAAGAAAAAAAAAAACTATTCACAGAAGCTCATGCAAAATATATCTCAAGCTCAAAATAAAAATAAAATTGGGTTTGCCCTTGAAGACGTTTCGCTTCTCATCCAAGAAGCTTCCTCAGTTCTGACTGAATGGCGAATGACGGAAGGATTCATATTCCTTGCAGTCATTTATATTCCTTTATATTTATATACGAGCTGGATACCTGTGCTTCGCTATGAAACTATGTGGTAGGGCTTAGTTTTGGGGGGTAGGAAAATAAGGGGTGGGTGAGTGGGAATTCTGCCTCTGCTTACCACCATCCATCGGGATTCATCTGGCTAGCGTCCTGTCAGTGTGTGGGAGAGTTGAGGACTGTTTGGAAACTGAAGCAATATTTGCTGCGTGAGCAAGAAGGAGACAGCAAGGAGCCTGGGCGTGGCTTAGCTCAACTGCTCTGTACTAAAGCTGCTTGCTGCTGTGAAAGTAAAACTGAAACTCCTCTGCTTGCGTTTTGCATTTGGAAGAGATTTCTTTTTCAGGGGGAGTCGAACTCCTTAGCATCAGAGCGCGTTCATAAAATAATAATATAGGAAACACTCTGATGGTCCTTTTGAAAAAATCCTTTCTTAGTGAGCCCCTAGAAGCCAAGAGGAACCTACTAGGTGCCAAATTTCAAGTTTGTAGGCTTTACGGTTCTGGAGATTTCGTGATGATGCCTGAGGGGTATTCCGCCAGCCCAGTTGCAAACCCCTCACGGCCCACTAGTGGACCACAACCCAAAAATTGAGGACCCCTGGTTGAGAGGTCAAGCCACATGTATATAAACAGAAAGCAAACCCCGCTCCCTTCTAGCACTTTTGATGTTACCCAGTATGGTCCTGAAACGTCCGCAACCAAGTTCAGAGAGCGTCAAGGACCTCACGGCCTTCCTCCTTCCAGCAAACCCGGCTTCCCTTATAGCAGTGATGATGTTCCTTGTCTGGGTCAAGAAACCCCCAAGAATTTCATAGTCCTCCTCCTCCTCCCCTCAACACCCCACTCCCTTCTAGCACTGAAGATGTTACCAAGTTGGGTCAAGAAACGTCAGCAAGAAAAGCACCAACCTCAAAGAACACCAAAGACCCCCACATTCTTCCTCCTCCTCCTTTCTTCTTCTCTTCTACCCTCTCCCTTGCTCAAAGAGCACCAAGGACCCCACAGTCCTCCTCCTCTTCTCTGCACAAACCCCACTCCCTTCTAGCACTGATAATGTTCCCTGGTTGGGTCAAGAAACGTCTGCAAAAAAACTATTAAGCTCAGATAGCACCAAGAACCCCAGAGTTCTCCTCCTCCCCCTCTCCACAAACCCTACTCCCTTCTAGCACTGATGATGTTACCTAGTTGGGTCATGAAACGTCTGCAAGAAAACCCCCAATCTCAGAGAGCACCAAGGACCCCACAGTCATCATCTTCCTCCTCCCTGCCTCCTCCTCCTCCCTGCCTCCTCCTCCTCCTCCTCTTCCTCCTCCTCCTCCTCCTCTCCACAAACCCTACTCCCTTCTAGCACTGATGATGTTACCTAGTCGGGTCATGAAACATCTGCAAGAAAACCACCAACTTCAGAGAGCACCAAAGACCCCACAGTCCTTCCTCCTCCTCCTTCCTTCCTTCCTTCCTTCCTTCCTTCCTTCCTTCCTTCCTTCCTTCCTTCCTTCCACAAACCCCACTCCCTTCTAGCACTGATGATGTT